ATGCCTAAGTTAGGTTGGGTATTTCAAGGAAAACCGGGTGGCCGGAGCCGTGTGTGGAGGCCAGAGCCTTGTGTGAGGGAGAGAAAGAATATGATGGCTAGGGTTTGTGAAGGATAATTTTTGCAGAGTTTCAGTAGGAATTTAGACGTACCTGAACCCTTGTATGTAGCTAGGTATTTATAGGGGCCTCGGAGGCTAGGGTTTCAGAGGAATAATTCCGTAGATGGAAGGGAATTATTCCTCCCCAATTTGGCGAGATTTGACTAATTAGGGATTTGATTTATTTGATTTAAATCAAATCCCTAATCAGGGTAGCAATCAAATCAATACCTACTTTAATTAGGTAACTCCTCCATTAATTGAGAATATTCGTAGGAATCAAATCAATCCTCAACCTAATTAGGTAACATTCTATTTAATTGGGTAATGAATTAATTCGGTTCCCACAGGTACCAACACCGTAATGGCGATTTATCTCCAGCGAGCTTGAAGCAATCGTGACCAGTGTTGTGTTCAACATAAGGTGACAAGACCCGACCCAAATTCCACTTTTTTATCCGAGTCGAACCCTGTATATATATATATATATATCTAACTCAACTACCAGCATGTAATAGATTATATCCAAGAAAATCAAGCATCAAATCACTCTGGCATCAGGCCTCAATAGTTCAAATAAAATATTTTGCCAACCAAATCTAATTCAAATTCTTAGAACATCCTCAGAACAATATTAGATTTCAGAATAACTTAGCTGTACTACCTTTCAACACTTGACCTCGTGGCTGCACCTATTAACTCTAGGCTGCCTACGTACCCTTAACAAGGGATCAAGCCACACGTAGTTCTTCCATTTAATAATGTAATTGAATATCTTATTCATTCATCATATTGCCATGTGTTTTGCAAATCAAACTGAATTCTCATGTGCCTAATGTACTCAATCATATTCACAATTCTAAAACAATACTTTGCAACTTCCCAATGCACGTAACAGTCATATACTGATTATAAATAAGCCATATACTGATCTCCCTCTATTTTAGTTTAAGAACATCTCAAAACCGAGATTCTCTCCACCTAGGCGTGTCTATCATCATCTATCATTTCCTCATGTCTCGGTTCGTGACACGCCCTCGCAGGTCTTGGTAACACAAGGTCGCTGAGCCGCAACCCTCGCAGGATTCAGGGAATGTTTAGTCGACCTGATCCGCATTCCTCGAAGTAGTTCATATTCAAACATATGAAAGTCACTTATTGACTTTCCTCTAGTTCATACACCAATATATATATATATATAATTTATATGTTCTTGGCTTAAATTATATATACGTAATAAATAAAGATGAAGATAAAGATAAATTAAGATAAAAATAAAGAAAAAAATAAAAATAAAATCAACAAGCTCCAAAGACCCTTTTTGTAACAACCCAAACCTTAATTAATATTTAATTAATAATTTAATGGAGGAAAAGACTCATTTACCCTTGGATTATTTTATTTGGGTTTAAGTTGACTTTTTTTGACTGGGAAAGAATTTGGGAAATTCGATTGTACCGTTGCGCAGAGCGCAACAAAACGAGTCCGTAGACACGTAGTGGACTCAAATCGAACTTGTAATGAAGAAGTTACGAGCAAAATACGTAAAACGGGCAAAAAGGTAATTTTCGAAATCAGATTTTAAAAAAAATCTGATTCTCCCTTTCTCTCTCCTCACTCTCTCTTCTTCCTTGCGCGACACCAAACCCTCTCCCCTGTTTTCTTCTTGCTCCAGTCGATCACCCAACCACCTCCAGCCGCCACCACACCGCACCGGACCGGCCAAGAAAGCACCGCCGCCACCTCCGCAAACCAGCCCCGCCTGCTTCGCCTTCCAGCCGCCATGAATCTGCCGGAAAAACCAGAAAATCAAGTCAGTTTAGGCAGAATTTCGTCGGCTACGTTCGTCGTCATCCGGCCACCAAATCGGACGAATTAGGTATGGTTTTTCGACTGATTTTCACGATCTAGCTGGTGGATGGGTAGCTTTTCAGAGGTTTTGAGGTTTGAAGGGTTAATTCTTGATTTGAAATTCTGCCGGTTTGAGAGCTCGGTTTCAGTCACTTCCGGCCACTTTTTGGCCATAGTCCAAGAACAAAAGTGGTTCCAAATAGGGTATATTACCTGTTTGTGCCTGATAAATCACGGCCATGAGCTGGCCGAAGGAGCCCTTTCTCTCGGCCCTGGCATTTGTTCGCAGAAGCTGAAACGCAGCGTTTCGCCAGGGTACTTCGCCTTCCCAAAGATAAAAGAAGAAATGCTAAGGCATTATCATCTCGGCCTCAAGCGCAGGCCGAGGCCGAGGCCGAACAAAATTGCGGCCAAGGCATTAAAGGCAAA